AAAAAGGGGTGCTCGGTTGTCTATAAGAAGAGAATAATTTAAAACAACTTTCTTTGAAGTTTGAATGATATTGAATTCCTTCTAAACATCATTTTCTGAAACTAAATTGATTCAGAATAACTTAGTATTTGCAGTTCTATCATTCTCCATCTATTTTTTTAAACCAAAAAGACATAGGCGCTATAACAAGAAAAACAAAGAAATGAGAGGCCACTGAGGGTATAAACTCTTTTTGTAAACATACAAATTTTTGTTTGCAGTTGTTGGGGTATAGGTTTAACCGGTGTTGCACGCTGGGAAAATGCAACCATAAAAATCTATTCACCTGGCCCAACTCCTCCTTCAGTCGATACTCTTTGGTTTCGAGAAATCGGTGTAGGTCCTTGGGGCGATGTCACTCCCTAAACGAGCATTTCATCACCTGGAATCGACTTATTTACTCTATTGTCTCACTTGTCCTTGTGAAGGTATTTGCCATAATGGGTGCTCAGGTAGTGGAGCGGATGGTCTTGGCCAAGATCCCTGTCCCGGCTGTGGGATGCCGGGTGGTCCTCGTGGGATGTTCTCTGGTCCCTCCCAATAATCTTCTTCAGGTGGAGGAGGAGGTGGCCGTCGAGGTCTTGTTCCTGGTCTTGGCCTTGGTCGGCGTCGCGGTGGAGGCATTGGAGGTTGGAAAACAGGCTGTGGAACTAAACAAGGTAAACAAGAGATTATGCAAGGATGATCTGGGAGAAGCTTAGGGCTTTTCAAGGTCAGGTTCGAAATTTAGCTTTACGTTATAGTATAAGGAAGGGGCGGGGGAGAGACAAAAATGCTGAATTGAGTAACTTCAGATGCTTAATGCTCATGAAAACTCACTCAAACTATCAAAGAAGTTCTTCACATTGGCCAAAAAGCCTCCCAAAGGACCTCCTGGTTGCATCGGACTCGGATTGTTCCCGAACATAAGCATACTACCCAGGTCAATCCCTCGACCTTGTCTCACGCCGAGACCGGAATCCACGCCGATCCTTTCGTTGGCAATGATCACATTGTCGGTTCCTGTAGAGGTCAACGCAATTTTTGCATTATTCAAGGTTAAAAAAAGTGCACTTACCGCTGACACCAACTCCAGCTGGATTTCCGGAAACACCCAGAGCACGATGGCCACCGAACCCGAGAATATTCGCACCTTGACTTAAGCCAAGGTTGAATCCACCGTCAGGAGAAGGGTTCAGGGAAAATTGACCGAGATTAACTTGAGCTGCTGTGGCTAAAAATGCTTCTATTCGCACATACTTAGCATTGAACTTA